TCACATTTATCCTGTTGTTATGGAAGCAAAATGCTGAATTCGATAAGTCATAAAACACCCAAAGTAACTGTTTAACAAGCAAGCGTCCCTGATTCACAGCTACTGCTAAAATTCTTAGACGTGCACACAACAGAGTCCTGTTATTTGGAACTTATACCACAATAGTTTCTTGTTAGGTCTTGTCAGTGCCATCTGGTGTCAATGCAAAGGAGCAAATGCTGCCAGAAAAGCTGCCATCCATCCATTACATCAGGATCTGATTTCACTTTGCCATGTGATGTATGTCAACACAACAACAATCTGCAAAACGTCAGTCCTATTGACATGCATTTACAGAACGCTTGTATTTTATTCTGCAGTCAGCCTGAAATCCAATCCTATCTCAAAAACAGGGGTTATGTTGTCTCTATTAGGGATTAACAATCAAAGTGGATCACATTGACATGTGGGGTCCCCCAAGGCTCACTTCTAGGACCACTACTCTTTAATCTCTATAAGCTCCCCCTGGGTCAGGTCATACCTAATAACATCGCCTATCACAGCTATGCTGATGACACCCAGATCTACCTAGCCTCATCATCTAGTGATTATCGTCCACTGGACTCACTCTGTCAGTGCCTAGAACAAGTAAACGACTGGGTGTAGTCAAACTTCCTTAACTAAACAAAGACAAGGCTGAAGTTATTGTCTTTGGCAACAAGAAGGATAGAATGGATGTTATTGGTCAGCTGGACTCCAGGGCAATAAAGACAAAATCCCTGATTAGAAATCTTGGTGTTATTGACTCAGGCCTGAGATTCTCTGGACATTTTAAAGCTATAACTAAATCAGCCTTTTATCACCTTCAAATATCAAGAGTCAGAGGTCTCGTGTCCAGACCAGACTTAGAGAAACGTATTCATGCTTTTATTTCTAGTCGGCTGGACTACTGTAATGGTCTCCTAACTGTTCTTTCCAAAAAAGCTGTGAAGCAACTGCAGTGTGTTCAGAATGCTGCTGCTAGAGTCCTAACAAGAACAAAGAGAACAGAGCACATCACTCCTGTTCATACAATCTCTCGACTGGTTACCAGTAAACTACAGAATAGGTTTCAAAGTGCTTCTACTAGTTTATAAATCACTCAGTGGCATGGGACCAAAGTACATGTCCATTCTTATTCCTGTATATACACCCAATAGGGCTCTGAGATCCCTTGGAAACAATCCGCTGGTAGAACCTCGGGTCAGAACAAAACATGGTGGAGATGCATTTAGTTACTATGCTGCTCACATGTGGAATCAGCTTCCCCTTGACCTCAGATCTGCCCCAACCCTAGTGTTGTTTAAAACAAAACTAAAAACCCTAATATCAGCCTTTAAATGAATTGTTTCTTATGCTGCGTAATCTCCACTGTAATCTGCGCTATAACTTTGTCTTCTCCTTTAGCTCTAATCTGTAATTCCATTTGTGTGAATTTTAAGTTGTGTTTTTATGTGTTTTCCTATCATGTCCTGATAGGAAAACACAACCACTGCCAAAGTTTCAGCTGCACATGGAAAACGTTAACTCAGTGAAGAGATTAGACAGGCACAGCTGAAAGGACTTAGATGAAAATACAGCTTATTTATCATTAACAAGTGAAATAGACAACATTGTTTCTCCAAAAAAGTCTCTTTTTCAAGGTTTTGTCCTAAATTTCACCCAAACATACGGTATGTCCTCTTGAACATTGCATTGCTGAATTAAAAGGCTGCATGTTTGACATGGTTCTTTTTAAAAAATTTGCCTTTCATGCAGATCAGCAACAACCAAAAAAACTTTAAAGCTATTGAATCTTGGCAAATCATGAAAGTTTCTGCCTTGTTCATCAGATTTTATGACAGGTGTTATTGAATCATTTCGGCGACGTCAGATAGTCGCAGACTAAACTTAATTACTGTTTTTCTGGCTAAAGCTGAGAAAGGACAGCTAGTTTTTACCTGAACTGAATTTTATTTGCCTGCAGATAAATACAAAATGCACAACCTTTAAGGCAACACCATCTCAATTTATTTATTACAGGGTTTTCAACTGCAGCTTTGCATGAAATTAAATGTTTACTGTTTCCATTTTTCCAAACAGGTTCCGTTTTGGAATCAATTGGAATGACTGCAGGCAAATCACAAACGTCTTCCACTATTGGAACATCTCATAAATGATTTATTTAGAAATGAAAGATGTTTCCTTTCAGGTTTTCTCAGGGGTTTGTTTCAAGTCAGGGCAGGCTGGGTTTTCATATAGATCTTTATCATCAATGACAAATTTGCCTCAAGCCACAAGCCTGAGGGGGGTTTGTACCGAACTTTCCACATGTCACACCCTTCAATATCAAAGTCTGAGGATTTTACAGTATAGTGTTTGAAAGATGCAAAAGGCTGAATTTTCATTTTCCCATTTGACTTTTCGTAAACCTCACTGGATGTTTAGGTGCAAAAAAGACCTGGTACTTTATTACATTAGCAGAGGGTTTGGGGTTATTCTGAAAATGTAGGATCCAAAAAAACGAAAGTGAAACCGAAGCAAGTTTAAAATAATTTACTTTAAAGTGATTGATTTGTTTGGCAGAGAAAAGTTTTGTGATGACACTTGACAGATTGACTTCCAGCAAACTTGAGTGACGGGTAGGTTTGAATGCAGGCGGTATAGCGAGGCAGGCTGGCGTGACGAGGTGAAGGGCTTGCATACAGACACACAGACAGGCAAACACGCAGTCACCCACATACATGCACACGCACACACGCACACACACATGTGAGCTTGTACACACACACAGACACACGTGCGCACACAGAAACAAACACACAGGCATGCACACACGCATGGAAACGTGTGCACGCACACACACATAGACATACACATACACACACGCTCGCACACATGCACATGCACACACACAGACATGCATACACATGCACCCTCACATGTGCACACACAGAAACACACACATACACGCATGCACACACACAGACACACACACATGTATGCACACACACACACACACACACACGGATGAACACACACACACAAACGCATGCACACACACACACATGTTTGCACACACATACACACATGCACAGGCAAACATACACATGCACGGACACACACAGACATGCGCACACGCGCGCACACGCGCACACACACACACACACACACACACACAAAGAGAGAGAGAGAAGATGGAGTTGAAACAAGGAAATGGAAAAATTGAAAACTTTGCAGCTAAGTTGTAAATAATGAGACAATTTTCTCTAAATTTCCAACGCAGTCCCAAACCACCACAACACCACCATCTTTCCAGGCGCATCGATACGTTCTTGTTGTTCTGGTTTTTTTCATGTTAATGAAAGTTTGAAATGTAAATGAGTCACTTCACCAGGAATAATTTATAGCCTAATTCTTGAGTAACCTGCCACACTTTTACTTTTATTTATGTTTTATTTTCTAAGGAACAGCTTTTCTGCTCAGTCTAATTATTCCTAACAAAGTTTTGGGAATTTTAAGGACATGATGCAAGTCTATTTCCAAGTGACTTGATATTTTAATATTCTTTATTTGCTGCGAGCATTTGTCCTTCCTTGGCGTCCATATCCAGCAGTCATCGGGCAAGAGGTGGGAGAAACCCTGGGCAGGTGACCAGTCCATCACAGGGACACAGAGACCACCAGTCACTAATTCACTCACACCTAGGGACAATATTAAAGTCACCAACAGCCTAAACCTTCATGTTTTTAGCCTGTGGGCAGAAGCTGGAGTACCTGGAGAAGGGAGAACACACAAACACTGTGCACAAAGGCTGTAGCCTGGATTTGAACCTGCAACCTTCTTGCTGGAGGGCAACAATGCTACCAGCTGCTCCATTGTGCAGCCCTATTTTGACATTCGTCTTTTCAGACTCATAGTTTTTTTTTTTAGGAATCACCTGTTTTGTGCAAACTTACCAGTTCTCATGTCAGAGTTGTGTTTTGAATATTTATCTTTGGAAACACAAATCTGCTGGAAGTGCTGCAAACATAAACACAGAGAAATGTGTTAACACGCTGCTTTCCAAACCACAGTCTTCTATCTTTATTTTTAGTGCATTTCCCAGAATGTTAAATCCAGAACAACCATTTATAAAACAAGATTTATTCACCTGTCAGAAGCACCACACTAACGCTTTTACACCAGGAGGGTCAAACAAACATGTTTACCCTACTTGATCTGCTCCATTTACATTAAATCCTTTTGAGAACAAACTCAAAAGATTCGAAATGCTTTTTTCTTTTTCTAGGAAGTGAAGAATACCGAGGTTTGGCTGATTGATAGTGCGTCTTATGCAAACTTGAGTTTCTAGGAACAGAAGAATTTCTGCGGGTGGGAAAGTTTGCGTCCCACCTCTAATTGAGGGATTGACTTGGAATCTGACTGCACACACAAGTCAAACAGTGTATGAACAGTAGCATTAAAACCTCAAAGGATGGAAAAGTGAAAGTCTGGAAAACCACAAAAATGAAGCTCTTTCTCAAACGGGATCAGCTGAACTTATAGAAATTCTAGGAAGTGTGTTGATGAGAATAAATTAACTAAAACGAGTTAAACTGGAGATGTTTTTGTACATTTTGCTCATAAGTTTCAGAGAAAATGACTCCTCAAGTCACCCAAATGACTTAAAACTTTATATAAAGTCATAAAACATCAACCTAACTTTCACAACCAAATGGTTTAACTCCATAAAATAACTGATGATGATGATGCTCTTTTTGCTCTTGTATTGTGTGACGCCTCACTGAGTCATTTTACCAGCATGGATTTGTCCCAAAGCACTTGGATGATGACGATTTCTATATTTGCCTTTTTTAGAACTCATTTATCTTCAAATAAACACGTAAACTGCTCATGTTACACCTGAGAAAAGACTTGGAGAAAATGACAGTGAGAGAATGAAACTGCTAATCAGGGAAAGGAGGAGGCCCATGTGGAGTGAATAGTCTATTTGTTTGTCTCTCTCTTGTCCTCGTTGGTCAGGCCTGGTGCTTGGTGCCTGGCATCCAGGGTAACTTCCTTTCATAGCGACTTCTGCTGTCCACGCATTTGCATTTCTGCCGCTGTGAGGGCAACACTTCAGTCTGTGAGTGCTTGATCGCTCGCTTTGGGCCTTAGTATGCAGGGACTCGGGAAGACGGAGAGAGGAGATCAGGGCCGAGACATCGACCGGACATCGCTGAGATCAACCATGCCGGCCAGCGGCCCTCTACAGGTCAGTGCATCTAAATAAATGTATAAACTAAGCAAATGAGATGAAATGAAGTGGAATGGATGAAAATAAGAAAAAACAAAGGAAAAAGTGAGTTTCAGCAGGAATAACGTTCTAGATGGATCTTTGCTTTGTTACGACCTCTCAACACTGTTGACGCCTCCTATCCCCCCCTCTTTAATCTCCCTCTCCTCTCACCCCGGGTCCTTCTGTTCCTCTGAATCACCGCTGCCACCTCGGCTGTGCCACAAAGCTGTGGTATGTTCTGCTTACGTGAGAGCTGAGGATCAGAAGGTTGCTATTTGGCAATCTGGGCTCAGCTGACTCTTTTCCAAGATGAAGATGTGATCACAGCATCCATCAGAGATCAATTAGAACCTGAGTGTGAATGCTAAAAAGGTCCTCTGATAGGATCGTGGGCTGCAGGAACAGCGACATGCTAATACCAAGGAAAAGGCGGTCCTTGTTGGGTTAAAACCTAATTAGACAAACATTTAATGTTTAAACCCTCTGAAGCATTTAAAATCAATTATTTCACATATTAAATTAACAGGTATGTTCTGCTTGAATTGTTCACTTTTATTTTACCTGGAAATAAGAAGTTGCTGCAGTTAGTCCATAATAAGATACGGACACACACACACACACCCATGCATTCCTGGTGTGTGTGTGTGCGTGTGTGTGTGTGTGCGTGTGTGTGTGTGTGTGTGTGTGTGTGTGTGTGTGTGTGTGTGTGTGTGTGTGTGTGTGTGTGTGTGAGTGTGTGTGTGTGTGTGTGTGTGTGTGTGTGTGATAACCCACCTGTATGTGTTCTGACACGCAGAATGGGTGTGTCTTAGTTTACATTTAAAGACAGGTAGCAGAAATATCAGAAAAGCGATACTAAGTTTTAATAAAATAACAAAATATTGTTTCTGAGCTCAAGATTTATTATTGAAAAAAATCCTCATCAGTGCTTCTTTAGCTGGAACAGGATTTATAATGATAAATGACTCGCACTAGTAAAGCACCTTCCAGAGTCAGATGACTCTAAGGCGCTTTAGACTACAGTAGAAATACTATACTATACTATACTATACTATACTATACTATACTATACTATACTATACTATACTTTACTATACTATACTATACTATACTATACTATACTATACCAGTG